AAGTGTTTAGGTGGAATGTGTCCCTCATCTAGAAATGTCTTTGGTAGGCTTTCTCTGTCATCTACAGACATGGGCAAATTCTCTTCACTTCTTTACATGAAATAGATTAAGCATCTGCCTTTGGCTCAGGTCCTGATCTCGGGTCCTGGGATCAAGCCCTGCATCAGGCTCCCTGCTCAGCAGGAAGTCTGCTTCTCCCTCTGCCCTTCCCCCCAACTCACTCTCTCTCTAGACTCTAGACTAGTCTCTTAGGACTCTCTCTCCCAAATATATAAATAAAGTCTTTTTTAAAAAAAAGCAAGACCAAAAAAATATTATATACCATATGATTCCATTTATATAAAATTAACTAACAGGCAAAAATTAAACTGTACTGGTTAGGGATGGATATATAGGTAGTATATAAAGAAAAGCAAGAATATGGCTACCACAAAGGTCAAGGTTGTGAGGACTCCAGGGTAGAGGAAATGTTGTGATCACAGAGTGACATATAGATACCTCCCAAGGTACTGGCGGTGCTCTACTTCTTGATTTGTGTTTTGGTTACACTGGAGTTCATTTTATAATAATTTGTTAAAATGCATATTTATGTTTTATGCATTTTTCCTATATATGTTATTTCCTAAGAAAAAGGGCTTAAAAAATGAAACCTGAGAATTGATTTAAATAAATACAATTTAAGGTACCCTGAGGCAATTTTTTTCCTATTTTGCTTTAAATATGATGGAGGATTAAAAGAGGCAGAATAACACTGGAGAGCTCCTTTTGTAACCTAAATTCATATCTGTATTTTTTTTTTATAAGGCTTGTCACTATGGTGTTCAAATAAAGTAATAAAGATGCCATTTTAGCAAAAAATACAGGGGTTTTTTTGTATTTCTTTGTTTTATTGAGAAATAAATGAAATACACCAATGTACAAGCTTTTTTTTTTAAGATTTATTTATTTATTTGAGAGAGCGAGCCAGGGGGAGGGGGAGAGGGAGAGAGAGTCCTAAGCAGACTCCATGCTGAGCGTAGAGCTTGACGTGGGGCTTGATTCCACAACCCTGAGATCATGACCTGAGCCAAAATCAAGCATCTGACCCCTAACTGACTGTGCCACCCAGGCACCCCCATCACTGTATAAGTTTAAGGTATACAGCATCATGGTTAAATTTATATATATTGTGGAATGGTTACCACCATAGGTTCAGCTAACCTCCACCTTCCCATATAAATACAGTAAAAAGAAAGAAGAAAAGGAAAAAGGAAAAAAATTTCTCCTTGTGATGAGAACTCTTAGGATTTACTCTCTAAAAAACTTTCCTATGTAATCATACAGCAGTGTTAGCTCTAGTCATCATGTTATACATTATAACCTTAGTACTTATCTTATAACTGTAAGTCTGTACCTTTGACCACCTTCCTCTATTTCCCCCTTCCCACCCTCTACCTCTGATAACCGCAAGTCTAATCTCTTTGTAAGTTTTTTTCCTTTTAGATTTTACATATAAGTGAGATTGTACAGTATTGTCTTTTTCTGTCTGACTTATTTTACTTAGCTAATGCCTTCAAGGTCCATTCATACTGTTGCAAATGGGAAGGTTTCCTCATTCTTTTATGGCTGAATAATACTATATTGTATATATGGATATACCACAACTTTTTAATCCATTCATCCATTGATGGACACTTAGGTTGTTTCCATGTCTTAGCTACTGTAAACAATGCTTCTATGAACATGAGGGTGTGGATATTTTTTCACGTTAATATTTTTGTTTCCTTTGGATATATTCCCAGAAGTAGAATTGCTGGATCATATGGTAGTTTTGAGGATCCTCCATACTATTTTCTGTAGAGGCTTTACCAATTTATAATCCCACCAACAGTGCACAGGATTCCCTTTACTTAACATCCACACCAGCATTTGTTATCTCTTATCTTGATGATAGCCATTCTAACATGCATGAAATGATATCTCATTGTGGTTTAGATTTACATTTCCATAATGACTAGTGATCTTGAGCATCGTTTTATGTACCTGTTGGCCTTTCATATATCTTCTTTTGAAAAATGTCTATTTAGGTCCTTTGCCCATTTTTAAAATAGGTTATTTGTTATTTTGTTATAGTTTATTACTATTAGTTTTTTGCTGTGAGTTCTTTATGTATTTTGGATAATAACCCCTTATCTGATATATGGTTTGCAAATATTTTGTCCCATTTCCATTCCAGAGGTTGTCTTTTCACTTTGTTGATGGTTTCTTTTGCTGTGCAGAAGCCTTTTAGTTTGATTTAGTCCCACTTGTTTATTTTTTATTTTATTGCTTGTGCTTTAGGTGTCATATCCAAAAAATCATTACAAAGACCGATGTCAAGGAGCTTTATTCCTATGTTTTCTTCTTGGGGTTTAATGGTTTCAGATCCTACATTTAATTCTTTAACTTGTTTCAAGTTAATTTTTGTGACTGGTATAAGATATGGGGTCAGTTTCATTCTTTTACATGTGACTATCCAATTATCCAGGCACCATTTATTGAAGAGACTTTTTTCTCCATTGAGTAATCTTGGCTCCCTTGTCAAATATTAGTTGATCATATATGCTTGGGTTTATTTTTTGGCTCTTGATTCTGTTCTTTCGGTCTATTTGTCTGTTATTATGCCACTACCACACTGTTTTGATGACTATTGCTGTATAGTATAACTTGAAATCAGGAAGTATGATGCCTCCTGCTTTGTTCTTCTTTATTAAGATTTCTTTGGCTATTCAGGGTCTTTTGTGATTCCATATAAATTTTAGGGGAGTTTTTTTTTTCTACTTCTCTAAAAAATGCCATTAGAATTGGGATTGCACTGAATCTTTTGGTAGTACTGACAATTTAACATTAATTCTTCCAATTCATGAAGACAGAATAGTTTTCCATTTATTTATGTCTTCTTTGATTTCTTTCATCAGTGTCATAATTTCTAGTTTAAAGATCTTTTACCTCGGTTAAATTTATTCGCATGTCTTTTACTGTTTTTGATGCTATTGTAAATGAGATCAATTTATTTCTTTTTCAGAAATTTCACTGTTAGTGTATAGAAACGCTACTGATTTTTGTATATTAATTTTGTATCCTGCAACTTTATTGAATTCATTGATTAGATCTAACAGGTTTTTGGTTGAGTCTTTATACAAAATCTATGTACAAAATCATGTTGTCTGCAAATAGAGGCAATTTGACTTCTTTCTAATTTTTATACTGTTTATTTCTTTTTCTTGCCTCATTGCTGTAGCTAGGACTTTCAGTACTATGTTGAATAAGAATGGCGAGAGTGAGCACCCTAGTCTTGTTCCTGATCTTAGAGGAAAAGCTTTCATCCTATCATCGAGTATGCTATTAGCTGTAGACTTGTCATATATGGCCTTTATTCTGTTGAGATATGTTCCTTCTGAGCCTGATTTATTAAGTTTTTTCATGAGTGGATGTCGAATTTTGTCAGATGCTTTTTTTGCACCTACTGAAATGATCATATGATTCTTTTCTTTCATTCTATTAAATGTGATGTATAATATTGATTGATTTGTGTGTGTTGAGCTATCTTTGCATCACAGGGATAAATCCTACTTGATCATGGTGAATGATTCTTTTATTGTGCTGCAGAATTTGGTAGTATTTTATTGAGAATTTTTGCATCTATATTCATCAGGGATATTGACTTACAGTTTTCTTTACTAGTAGTGTCTTTTCTGGATTTGGTATCAACATAATGCTGCTGAAATTTCTTGCTCTTCAGTTCTTTGGAAGAGTTGGAGAAGAATTGGTGTTATTTCTTTACATGTTTGGAAAATTCAACAGTGAAGCCATCTAGTTCTGGGCTTTTCTTCATTGGGAGATTTTCAATTGCTGATTCAGTTTCTTTACTAGTAATTAATCTATCCAGATTTTTTAATTCTTTCTAATTCACTCTTGATAAGTTGTAAAAATATGGATCCTAAAGTAATTCCCATTTGTGTGTGTGTCTGTGTCTGTGTGTGTGTCTGTGTGTGTCCTCATCTGTAGCTTGAAATTTCTTTTTGGTTTGCCACATAATGCTGCTGTGGAATAAAATTCAAAGTACATCTCTAGAATGGTGTCACCATCCTTAAGGACAGGAACGTGTCAACATAGCAAGAACACATACCTTGGTTAGACTATTTCTTATTATTAGTAGAAGAAGTGTTTTGGAGATTTTTTTTCCTGCATTCTGAAATGTTTATGGGGAAAATAAGTATGAAACTACTTAGCAGCTTTGCATTTTCTTAGACTGATGCAACAGGAGTATTGTAATAGAAGTAATGTCTACTGGAAGAAATGAAAATACAGAACTTAAATAACATTAAAATTCTGAGTATGTTCTTAACATCCATGATAAATCTGCATATATTATTATTGCTTTTTTAATGCCAAGAAATGGTTCTAAATTTATTGTTTGGCATCCTTAGTGACATCTCTTGGCATTCTTATATCTCATACAACCTCCCTCCCCCCAGAAGGGAGAGTGGGGCCACTTGTAAGTGAATATGAATGTTGGTAATGTCATTGACATTAGTGTCTCTTCATAATCCTTTATAGTCATGCCTTGGACCCTACCTAGCCTACTGAAAAAAACCCAAGTTAGAGCTGTAGGTTTTGTGTAGAGAACAGATTCCTTGATCAGCAATACAATCTCTTCAGTTTTTTTGTCCAAAATTCGGCCCGTTTTCAGTGTTACCAGTCTGGGTTTCCAAAGCCATTTCACATTCCTGTAATTCAGATATAGCAGTTACCTAATTTAGATGATGGCAATGTGTATTTTTTTCTCTCTAGTCCTTTTGATGTTCATGAAGGAATGAAACAGGAACTATATGTTCCAGCACTGCTAATTAATTTTTTTGTTTGTGTGAATTTGGGTTAAAGATAAATGAAAGTAACTATTTTTAGGCTTATTGGAATTCCTCATCACTGTTTCTTATCTTTTACTTTTCACTACAAAATTCTGTTTTATTTTAATGCAGGTACAGCCTGACTATTTGGACTGGGAAAAATGATAACTATTCCATTGAAGATTTACTTTGCATTAGAGACCATTTTGACAAAAAACAAGTTTTCTATGACATCTTGGAACCACAAAACCATGAATTTAAACAAGCCATTGGAGTCAAAGTTAATCTCTAAGAAGATTCTTCTAAATTATTTCATGTTTGGTTTCATAATCCTCTGCTTTGGTCCTAATTAATTACCATATAAATTGTGATGATTGATTTATGCTCTAATTCATCTAATAAAAAAACACTTAGTGCTTACTTTATTAGGCCTATATCCTTATGATACTGTATGTACTTCAAAGATTTGGAAAGAAGAGATTTCAGTGGGCCTGGTCTAATAATAATTTAGGAAAATTATGCTTTAAACCCCCTTATATAATTTTGATATACTGAAGATATTTGAAAGAATTTACATGTCATAACCTGTAAGCACATTATATGTGATACAGATATAAATCACATTTTGGTTGGCTTTGCATTACAGAGATTCCACAAATTTGTGGCACCCTCTTTCTTTTTTCCTGGAGAACTTGTTATTTCAGAGACTAAGGAAGAGTAAGAGGGCTTTAAAAATATTTTAATTTTCACAGAGGTGAGCAGCTTTCTCCTAACAGTATAAAATCCATTTACTGAAAACAATATAGATTAAATTAAATGGATCTAGAATTTCCATATTGTTGGGGGCATGCTGACAACTGTATATGTTGTTTATATTCTTTGTTTCAATCATAGTATTTTATCTATAGTAAGTACAATACTACTGGAGAGCAGAATTTTTTTTTTTTTTAATTTTATTTATTTGACAGAGCTAGTGAGAACAGGAACACAAGCAGGGGGAGCAGGAGAGGAAGAAACAGGCTTCCCACCGAGCAGAGAGCCCAATGCGGGGCTCGATTCCAAGACCCTGGGCTCAGGACCTGAGCGAAAGGCAGACGCCCAACGACTGAGCCACCCAGGCGCCCCTGGAGAGCAGAATTTTAATCCTAGTAACATATCGTTTGATTTTCAAGTTTCTCACCAGCACCACCTTAGTTCAGGCCCTTGTTCTACTGCTAGAATCTTAAAAAGTTCTTCATGACTTTATTGTTCACATTCTACTCAGAGATGCCCTGAGTATTTCTGCTGAAGAAAACTTTTCTAAGCACCTCTTGCCAAATCAGAAAGCTCCAGGGGTCTCTTAAATGCCACTTAATTAAATTTTACTCTTTCAAGATCATTCATAATGTAGCCCACTCTAAACATCACCTCAGTGACCTTCAGCACAGTCATCATTTCAAAAATGCCTACAACAACAATGGTCTCCAGATCTTTAACAGTCAATTTTAACTATTTGATATTGTTCACTAATTAGGTCATAAATGTTAGTTTTATCTGCTCAGCTAGGTTATATAAAGTCCTTCATGGTAAGGGAACATTCTTAACTGTCCTTTATAGTGTGTGCCATAGTCTTGAGCAAGGTATTCAGAAAAACACGTTACTTCTTTCATTATTGAAAAGTAACTTACCAATGAATGTCCTAAGATACATAATTTGCCTTTGTTTGTCAACCATTTTCTCCCAGAGAATAGTAGTATATAGAGAAAAGAGCTTGGGTTTTGAATTCAGACAGTCTTCCCTTACAGCCCCACCTCTGTCCCTTCCTAGCTATACATTTTGGGAAATATTTAACCGCATTGAATCTTGGTTTCCTCATCTATAAAATGGAGGGAAAATGAGGATTCTTTTAAAGAGTTGTTATGAAGATTGAGATTCATGGAATAGAGGCATCTAGCTTAGTGCTCAACACATAGCAAGTACTCAACAAAGTTAGTTCCCTTCTTCTAGACTTATCACATGATCATATCCACTGTAGATAGAGAACAGTAAGGGGTATAACATGAAACATTGTAGACATATATTTAAAGAAGACAATTATATTTCCACTTTAAATTTTAGCGCCAACTAAATGCAGTGCCATTTGTCAAATAACACCCAAAACTTCACTTTCTATGGTTGTTTGCCAAAAGCAAAAGATGCAATTTTATAATTACAAAATTTTAATAATAGCAACAAAGATTAACTCAAAATTATAGTAAAAATTAATGTTTATAAATTTTCTAAAATGACCACGCTTTACTTCTATAAAGAAAATTGAATTTGTAAATAAACTGCATTTTAATGAGGTTTTAAATAAAAGTCATTTGCCCAGATTATTTTTCCTACTTGATTATCTGACCCTTGATAATACACACACACACACATTTTTAATATATATATACACTTTTTTTTTTTTTTTAGAGAGGGGGTGGAGGGGCAGAAGGAGAGGGAGAGAGAGAGTTTTAAGCAGGCTCCATGCCCAGTGTGGAGCCTGACACAGGGCTCAATCTCATGACCATGAAATCACAACCTGAGCTGAAATCAAGAGTCGGATGCTTAACCAACTGAGTCATCCAGGCACCCCATGACCCTTGATAATATTTTTAAAAATATTAGTCTTAAGGCAAAATGCTCTTATATTGAGAAATTTATCAGCTGGTTATTACTTAGGTTAAGATTTAAAGGTGTATTTTAAATCATTCTTGGGAACAAATATATATAAGGGAATTATAAAATGTATTCTATTGAAAAATAATTTTTTTTAAAGATTTTATTTATTTATTTGACAGAAACACAGCGGGAGAGGGAACACAAGCAGGGGGAGTGGGAGAGGGAGAAGCAGGCTTCCCACTGAGGAGGGAGCCCGATGTGGGGCTTGATCGCAGGACCCTGGGATCATGACCTGAGGCGAAGGCAGACGCTTAACGACTGAGCCACCCAGGCACCCCTGAAAAATAAATTTTTAATGGATATTCACACAGAAAAAAGTAACTGATCCCTACTTCACACCATATGCAAATGATAATTTGAGTTGGATCTTAGGCCCAAATGTGAAAGCTAAAACGAAAGCATTTAGAAGAAAATAAAGGAGAATATTTTCATGACTTGGGAGTAGGCAATAATTTCTTTTTTTAAATTTCAACTTTATAAAAAAATAAAAGATAAATTTCAGCTTTATAGAGGTATAATTGACATATGAAAGTGTCAGATATTTCCAGTTTTCCCTATTTCCCCACACCCAAGGCAATGATATTTTTTAAAATTTTTTGGGGGGGTGGGGAGAAGGGCAGAGGAAGAGAGAAAGAGAGAATCTTAAGCAGGCTCCACGTCCAGTGTGGAGCCCGACCTGGGGCTCAATCTCACAACCCTGAGATCATGATGTGAGCCAAAATCAAGAGTCTGATGCTTAACTAACTGAGCCATCCAGGTGCCCTAGCAATGATTTCTTATAACACAACATTAATCATAAAAGAAAAACATTGATTAATGGGCTTTATCAAAATTTAACACTTCTCATCAAAAGACACCATTAACACATATTTGACAAAGGACATACTCAGAATCTATGGAGAACTCCTATAAACTGATTTTTAAAAAGAAGCTAAACAACCCAGTGAAAAATAGGCAAAAGAACAGACACTTCATAACTTGGTTAATAAATAATAATGATATAAAGGCCTTAATGTATAAGAATGCAATACAATAGTATATAAACACTGAGAATCTACATTTATTAACATGGAAAGATATTATATTACAGGCAGCAAAACAGATGTCTGGTATCATACTATTTATGTAAAATTGTGTGTCTTTATGTGCATTTGTATACATAGGAAAATATTTGGGAAGAAGTTCCCAGACACAAAATAAGTATAACCTATTTTTCCCCTCCAGGTTCTCAAGTCTAACGTTTTGGTGTTGAGAACTCATAGCATCTGAGGGCTATTTCCCAAGCCTGGCAGAGCAATCCCGGTCCTAGAAGAGACTTTGGTACGAGATCCAATTTTTCAAAAAATCAGCTTTATAAAGTACAGTAGTTTATGGCCCTGTAAAATTGATGTAATTACTATTTAGTCAGATATGTACTCATTTATCAAGTGGGAAATTGTTAAAAGTTATTCGGAACAGGTTGCTTATTTGCTTGTTTGTTGGAGCTAGGGTCTTAGATTTTTTCCTTGTAATTATAAAAACTTAAGTACCTAGTGAATATATGGAAAAATGCCCTCTCACCTTGAAATTTAAGATATGAGCTTGCCCAGTGGGAGCTTACAGTCTGCTTATAATCATAAATTCATGAATCAATGCCAGGAAAAAACCTGAATGATAGAAAGATGAAGATAGTAGTACTAAAGAACTTTTTATTATCTAGAAAATGGGAGTATAATGAATGAGCAAAACCAAGAAGGTCTGATAACCAGGTCTTGGAAGAAGTGGGGTAGAATACAGGGGTGGGTTCTTGGGACCTCAGCAGTAGGAACTCAGGGTCTTTGTTCTAGTGTCTAGTGTTCCACATCAGTGTCATTCTTTTACTCATGAGTGTGATTGCTTCTCTCTCTTCTTTGTACCTACCATCCAGGGACTGTAATTTGTCTAGTCATTTGTGTCTTCAGTGCTCACTGAAGAGTACTGTGTGGAGGGGAGGGGACTGGCATTTAATTGGTGTCTGATGTGCTGAGGCTGTGCAAATAATTCAGAAATGATTTCTACCTCAAGGATCTTACAATCTAGGTAGGGGCGAGAGACCCATAAACAATAAGTTGGATATTTGCCAATATGATGGAACTATACACCCGGTCGTGGTGACAGACAGCATTTTGTTCAAATTGAGAGGAAACACTTAAGTTGTGTCTTCAGTGATGAGCAAGATTCACTGGGTAGACTAAGAGGAGGAAGGGCCTTTCAGACAGAAGCACATGAGCAAAGGAACTTTAAGTGGGAAAGAGACTGACCTGACCTGTTCAAAAAGTATGTGGAGGCACCATACTATGAGGCTGGGCATTTATGCAGGGACCAGATTCACTTTCTGAGCTGAGGAATTTGCTTCTTTTCTCGTAGGCCATAGGAATCATTACACCAGTTTAAGTACGGGAGCCTTATTATCAGTTTGAGTGTTAGAAATGTGTTTACAATGGCATGAGAAGGAGATTTGAAATCTTTTTTTTTTAAATTTTTTAATTTTAATTTTAATTTTTTGATTAATTTGACAGAAAGAGAGAGAGAGACAGGCAGAGACAGAGGGAGAAGCAGGCCCCCCAATGAGCAGGGAGCCCGATGCAGGGCCTGACCACAGGACCCCAGGGCCACGACCCGAGCCGAAGGCAGACGCCCAGGCAACTGAGCCACCCAGGTGCCCCGAG